TTACAGGCTTATGCTTTGTTTTTGCGTACATGTTGCAACACAATGGACGAACTCTCATATATGCAAGAACTTAACATGCCTAGCAACATGAAAATGGTTGTAATGAAGTTACCTTACAAGCTGAGGGAGCAATGGAGAGCTAAAGCTTACCTAGTGTACGCTCACTTTTGCCCAGGCCCGCCCAAAAATAAAATTTTGGCTACGCCACTGTCTTTGACCATTGCACCTCGCAGCTTTTTGTTGCGCTTCTCCATTCATCAGGGCTGCGAGCTTCAGTGTAAATATTGTGTAAAAATCAAATCAAATCAGCACAGTAGTCTCACTCCACATGCGCGTCTTGTGTTTATAAGAGCAAAACATTCTGATTGGCTAGTAATGTTAGTTTGGTTGAGAGTGAAAGCTGTGCTCCTCTCATACCATTGGTAGGCAAACTCATGGACTCGAAAGTGATATCAATCACCAAGATTTTTTTTTTAAATGTAGGACTATTTTTTTCCGCAGCCAAACGCTGCACGCCGGAGATCCGGCACGGTGCCAGAGAACTTTAAGCCCTGAAAGAATGAAGCTGGGCATTCTGCTGTTACTGTCAACAGAATTTCTGTTGTTAAACTGGAAGAGTTGCTTAACAATCAGTTCAATCATGATTTCAGTGAAAGGACTGCTGATGAAAGAGAAATGTCAAGGGAAGATCTTCGGTTCATGAGCATAATGAACAGTACAGTCTTGCTCCAGGATGGACATTACAGTCTAAGATTACCATTCAAGACTGATGATGTCACACTACCTGACAACCTCTGTGTTGCTAAGCAACGATTGCATGGTCTGAAAAGGAAACTGGAAAGAAACCAAGAGTTTCATGAGAAGTATTCAAATTTTCTTACTGATGTTGTACACAAAGGCTATGCTGAGAAGGTACCAGATCACCAACTTGATCGTGTGGATGGCAAAGTTTGGTACATTCCTCATCACGGGGTGTTTCATCCCAAGAAGGGATCATTGAGAGTTGTGTTGGAGCAGTATATAAAGGAACAGCACTTAATAGTCAATTGTTGCAAGGCCCTAATCTTACCAGTTCTTTGGTAGGTGTATTGCTGAAATTCAGGCAAGAATCAGTAGCCTTCATGGCAGATATTGAAGCAATGTTCCACCAAGTTAAGGTGGCTGTGGAGGATGTAGACTTTCTTCGTTTCTTGTGGTGGTCTGGTGGAGAATTGACTAAAGAACCCATTACATTCAGGATGACAGTTCATCTTTTTGGAGCAGTGTCTTCTCCAAGCTGTGCATGCTACGCCTTAAAACAAACAGCAAAGGACAACGAAGCTGACTTTCCATCAGAAGTGATTGAAACAATCAACAACAACTTCTATGTGGATGATTGTTTGAAGAGCGTCTCCTCTGAGGAAGTGGCCATCTCTATGGTTAAAAATCTTACCTCTCTCTGTCAGAAAGGAGGTTTCCGTTTGGCAAAGTGGATCAGCAATAGTCGCAAGGTGTTGCAGTCAGTTTCTGAGGAAAACCGAGCCAAGGATATACAGCAGCTGGATTTGGATCGAGACAAGTTGCCTGTTGAAAGAGCTTTAGGTCTCCAGTGGAGTGTGGAAGCTGATACCTTTCAATTCAAGATTTCCTTGAAAAATCAACCTTGCACAAGACGAGGCATTCTATCTGTGGTAAGCTCTGTCTATGATCCTTTGGGTTTTCTTGCTCCGCTTGTTCTGCCTGCTAAAGTGCTTTTACAGGAGTTGTGCAGACAGACTTTGGGCTGGGATGATATTATACCATCAGTCCTCCAGAAGCAATGGAACCATTGGATTTTCGAGTTGGACAAAGTTGCAAAGTTCCAGGTGAACAGATGTTTTAAACCCATGGATTTTGGACTGCCCACTCATGCTTGTTTACATCATTTTTCTGATGCTTGCGAAACTGGTTATGGCACAGTTTCTTATCTGAAGATACTGAACAGTGCAAACACGGTACATGTGGCTTTCTTGCTGGGTAAGTCCAGAGTAACACCGTTGAAACCTGTGACCATACCTCGTTTGGAACTTACAGCGGCTGTCTTGGCAGTCAAGGTTGACATTATGCTGAAGAAGGAGTTGCAACTTCCATTGGAAGATTCGGTCTTTTGGACTGATAGCACAACTGTCCTCAATTACATTAAGAACGAGGACAAACGGTTTCATACATTCGTTGCTAATAGGGTGTCTTCTATAAGAGACACAACGCAACCTCAACAGTGGAGATATGTACCCACTAAAGAAAATCCTGCAGATGATGCATCTCGTGGTTTGAAAGTGGAATATTTTCTGAGCAATAAGCGATGGATTGATGGTCCTAGTTTTCTCTGGAAGCCGAGTGATATACAGTTCCCCACAAGTGATTTGACTTTGACTGATGATGACCCAGAAGTAAAAAAGGAGTTAAAGGTAAATGCTGTGGTCTTGCAGAATGGACAAAATGCCACAAGTCAACTTCTCCATTACTTCTCAGAATGGAAACGTCTGAAAGTTGCAGTTGCCTGGGTTTTGAAACTGCGGAAACTTCTGTTGGAGCTGAGTCGTAAACGAAAGGAGTTGTCTTTGGAGCAGATTGACAGTGTTGCTTTAAATGCAAAACGACAGGAATTTAAAGCATCTCTGGGCAGACAAAGTTTGACTGTGGAGGATCTGTATAAGGCAGAGATTGGCATAATTCGTTTCAGTCAACAGGAACAATTTCAAGAGGAAATTGCTGAGCTCAAGGAGGGAAGTACTGATGTTAAAAGAAACAGTTCTGTCTATAGTTTGGATCCTATGTTGCATGATGGACTGCTGCTAGTGGGAGGAAGACTTGGTAAGTCAGCTATGCCAAGTGAAAGGAAACATCCCATCTTGTTATCGAAGGATCAGCATGTGTCACATCTCATACTTCGAGACATTCATGAACAATTGGGTCATGGTGGCAGAAATCAAATGGTTTCCAAGCTCCGGTGCAAGTACTGGATTACAAATGCCAACTCTGTTGCAAGAAAGATCATCTCCAAGTGTGTCATCTGTAGACGTTATAAGGGAAAGTTGGGTGAACAGAAGATGGCAGACCTTCCAGTAGAAAGGATCACCCCTGATTTTCCACCTTTTACTAATGTAGGAGTGGATTTTTTTGGCCCCATCGAAGTGAAAAGGGGGCGGAGTAAAGTGAAACGCTATGGAGTGATTTTTACTTGTATGGCAAGTAGAGCTGTCCATTTGGAAATGGCATACTCACTCGATACGGATTCGTGCATCAATGCCTTGCGTAGGTTTGTCTGTCGTCGTGGACAGGTCTCTCACATGAGGTCTGATAATGGGACGAATTTCATCGGTACTGAGCGGGAGCTAAGAGAGGCACTCATTGCAATAAACAATGAAAAGATTCAAAGGGCCCTACTGCAGAAGGGAGTTCATTGGAATTTTAATCCTCCTTCAAGTCCTCATTATGGAGGAGTATGGGAACGTATAATTCGAATGGTGAAACAAATTCTTTGTGCAGTCCTTCGACAACAAACACTGGATGACGAAGCACTGCAAACTGTCTTGTGTGAAGCAGAAGCAATTTTGAACGATCGACCCATCTCTAAACTGTCCAATGATCCTAATGATTTGGAAGCTCTTACACCAAATCACCTTCTGCTTATGAAAGGAAATCCTGCGTTGCCGCCTGGTTTATTTGAAAGGTCTGATTTGTATGCCAAAAGGAGATGGAGACAAGTGCAATACATTTCGGATCTATTTTCTTACTGATGTTGTACACAAAGGCTATGCTGAGAAGGTACCAGATCACCAACTTGATCGTGTGGATGGCAAAGTTTGGTACATTCCTCATCACGGGGTGTTTCATCCCAAGAAGGGATCATTGAGAGTTGTGTTGGAGCAGTATATAAAGGAACAGCACTTAATAGTCAATTGTTGCAAGGCCCTAATCTTACCAGTTCTTTGGTAGGTGTATTGCTGAAATTCAGGCAAGAATCAGTAGCCTTCATGGCGGACATTGAAGCAATGTTCCACCAAGTTAAGGTGGCTGTGGAAGATGTAGACTTTCTTCGTTTCTTGTGGTGGTCTGGTGGAGAATTGACTAAAGAACCCATTACATTCAGGATGACAGTTCATCTTTTTGGAGCAGTGTCTTCTCCAAGCTGTGCATGCTACGCCTTAAAACAAAGCAATGTTCCACCAAGTTAAAGTGGTTGTGGAAGATGTAGACTTTCTTCGTTTCTTGAGGTGGCCTGGTGGAGAATTGACTAAAGAACCCATTACATTCAGGATGACAGTTAATCTTTTTGGAACCGTGTCTTCTCCAAGCTGCGCATGCTATGCCTTAAAACAAATAGCAAAGGACAATGAAGCTGACTTTCCATCAGAAGTGATTGAAACAATCAACAACAACTTCTATGTGGATGATTGTTTGAAGAGTGTCTCCTCTGAGGAAGTGGCCATCTCTATGGTTAATTATCTCACCTCTCTCTGTCAGAAAGGAGGTTTCCATTTGGCAAAGTGGATCAGCAATAGTTGCAGTCAGTCTCTGAGGAAAACCGAGTCAAGGATATACAGCAGCTGGATCTGGATCGAGACAAGTTGCCCGTTGAAAGAGCTTTAGGTCTCCAGTGGAGTGTGGAAGCTGATACCTTTCATTTCAAGATTTCCTTGAAAAATCAGCCTTGCACAAGGCGAGGCATTCTATCTGTGGTAACCTCTGTCTATGATCCTTTGGGTTTTCTTGCTACGCTTGTTCTGCCTGCTAAAGTGCTTTTACAGGAGTTGTGCAGACAGACTTTGGGCTGGGATGATATTATACCATCAGTCCTCCAGAAGCAATGGAACCATTGGATTTTCGAGTTGGACAAAGTTGCAAGGTTCCAGGTGAACAGATGTTTTAAACCCATGGATTTTGGACTGCCCACTCATGCTTGTTTACATCACTTTGCTGATGCTTGCGAAGCTGGTTATGGCACAGTTTCTTATCTGAAGATACTGAACAGTGCAAACATGGTACATGTGGCTCTCTTGCTGGGTAAGTCCAGAGTAACACCATTGAAACCTGTGACCATACCTCGTTTGGAACTTACAGCGGCTGTCTTGGCAGTCAAGGTTGACATCATGCTGAAGAAGGAGTTGCAACTTCCATTGGAAGATTCTGTCTTTTGGACTGATAGCACAACTGTCCTCAATTACATTAAGAACGAGGACAAACGGTTTCATACATTCGTCGCTAATAGGGTGTCTTCTATAAGAGACACAACGCAACCTCAACAGTGGAGATATGTACCCACTAAAGAAAATCCTGCAGATGATGCATCTCGTGGTTTGAAAGTGGAATATTTTCTGAGCAATAAGCGATGGATTGATGGTCCTAGTTTTCTCTGGAAGCCGAGTGATATACAGTTCCCCACAAGTGATTTGACTTTGACTGATGATGACCCAGAAGTAAAAAAGGAGTTAAAGGTAAATGCTGTGGTCTTGCAGAATGGACAAAATGCCACAAGTCAACTTCTCCATTACTTCTCAGAATGGAAACGTCTGAAAGTTGCAGTTGCCTGGGTTTTGAAACTGCGGAAACTTCTGTTGGAGCTGAGTCGTAAACGAAAGGAGTTGTCTTTGGAGCAGATTGACAGTGTTGCTTTAAATGCAAAACGACAGGAATTTAAAGCATCTCTGGGCAGACAAAGTTTGACTGTGGAGGATCTGTATAAGGCAGAGATTGGCATAATTCGTTTCAGTCAACAGGAACAATTTCAAGAGGAAATTGCTGAGCTCAAGGAGGGAAGTACTGATGTTAAAAGAAACAGTTCTGTCTATAGTTTGGATCCTATGTTGCATGATGGACTGCTGCTAGTGGGAGGAAGACTTGGTAAGTCAGCTATGCCAAGTGAAAGGAAACATCCCATCTTGTTATCGAAGGATCAGCATGTGTCACATCTCATACTTCGAGACATTCATGAACAATTGGGTCATGGTGGCAGAAATCAAATGGTTTCCAAGCTCCGGTGCAAGTACTGGATTACAAATGCCAACTCTGTTGCAAGAAAGATCATCTCCAAGTGTGTCATCTGTAGACGTTATAAGGGAAAGTTGGGTGAACAGAAGATGGCAGACCTTCCAGTAGAAAGGATCACCCCTGATTTTCCACCTTTTACTAATGTAGGAGTGGATTTTTTTGGCCCCATCGAAGTGAAAAGGGGGCGGAGTAAAGTGAAACGCTATGGAGTGATTTTTACTTGTATGGCAAGTAGAGCTGTCCATTTGGAAATGGCATACTCACTCGATACGGATTCGTGCATCAATGCCTTGCGTAGGTTTGTCTGTCGTCGTGGACAGGTCTCTCACATGAGGTCTGATAATGGGACGAATTTCATCGGTACTGAGCGGGAGCTAAGAGAGGCACTCATTGCAATAAACAATGAAAAGATTCAAAGGGCCCTACTGCAGAAGGGAGTTCATTGGAATTTTAATCCTCCTTCAAGTCCTCATTATGGAGGAGTATGGGAACGTATAATTCGAATGGTGAAACAAATTCTTTGTGCAGTCCTTCGACAACAAACACTGGATGACGAAGCACTGCAAACTGTCTTGTGTGAAGCAGAAGCAATTTTGAACGATCGACCCATCTCTAAACTGTCCAATGATCCTAATGATTTGGAAGCTCTTACACCAAATCACCTTCTGCTTATGAAAGGAAATCCTGCGTTGCCGCCTGGTTTATTTGAAAGGTCTGATTTGTATGCCAAAAGGAGATGGAGACAAGTGCAATACATTTCGGATCTCTTCTGGAAAAGATGGGTACGTGAATATCTACCCTTGTTGCAAGAGCGACAAAAATGGAACAAAGAATGTAGAAATATTACCCTTGGAGACATCGTGATTATTGCTGATTCTACAGCACCACGTGGCTCATGGCTTCTTGGAAGAGTTGTGGAGACTTACCCAGACAATAGAGGTTTAGTTCGTTCAGTAAAAGTTCGAACCAAATGTAACAACTTGGAACGTCCAATTAATAAGCTTTGCCTTCTATTAGAAGCAACAGCCTAAATATGGCATACTGTAGTCTAATAGGTGTTGGAAATTTACTGTCTTGTGTTATATACCCTTGGTACAAATTTTGAATTGGTATGTTAGGCTCCATTTTGTATGAATGTGTAATTATGTCATTATGCCATAATCAATTAAGGGGCCGGTGTGTTGGAGCCATTTATTGTAAAGTTTTACTTGGCCACTGGGTGGCAGTGGGTTGAAAGTGGAATATTTTCTGAGCAATAAGCGATGGATTGATGGTTCTAGTTTTCTCTGGAAGCCGAGTGATACAGTTCCCCACAAGTGAATTGACTTTGACTGATGATGACCCAGAAGTAAAAAAGGAGTTAAAAGGTAAATGTTGTGGTCTTGCAGAATGGACAAAATGCCACAAGTCAACTTCTCCATTACTTCTCAGAATGGAAACGTCTGAAAGTTGCAGTTGCCTGGGTTTTGAAACTGCGGAAACTTCTGTTGGAGCTGAGTCGTAAACGAAAGGAGTTGTCTTTGGAGCAGATTGACAGTGTTGCTGTAAATGCAAAATTACAGAAATTTAAAGTATCTCTGGGCAGACAAAGTTTCACTGTGGAGGATCTGTATAAGGCCGAGATTGGCATCATTAATTTCAGTCAACAGGAACCATTTCAAGAGGAAATGGCTGAGCTCAAGGAGGGAAGTATTGATGTTAAAAGAAACAGTTCTGTCTATAGGTTGGATCCTATGTTGCATGATGGACTGCTGCTAGTGGGAGGAAGACTTGGTAAGTCAGCTTTGCCAAGTGAAAGGAAACATCCCATCTTGTTATCGAAGGATCAGCATGTGTCACATCTCATACTTCAAGACATTAATGAACAATTGGGTCATGGTGGCAGAAATCAGATGGTTTCCAAGCTCCAGTGCAAGTACTGGATTACAAATGCCAACTCTGTTGCAAGAAAGATCATTTCCAAGTGTGTCATCTGTAGACGATATAAGGGAAAGTTGGGTGAACAGAAGATGGCAGACCTTCCAGTGGAAAGGATCACCCCTGATTTTCCACCTTTTACTAATGTAGGATTGGATTTTTTTGGCCCCATCGAAGTGAAAAGGGGATGGAGTAAAGTGAAACGCTATGGAGTGATTTTTACTTGTATGGCAAGTAGAGCTGTCCATTTGGAAATGGCATACTCACTCGATACGGATTCGTGCATCAGTGCCTTGCGTAGGTTGTCGTGGACAGGTCACTCACATGAGGTCTGATAATGGGACGAATTTCATTGGTGCTGAGCGGGAGCTAAGAGAGGCACTCATTGCAATAAACAATGAAAAGATTCAAAGGGCCTTACTGCAGAAGGGAGTTCATTGGCATTTTAATCCTGGAGGAGTATGGGAGTGTATAATTCGAATGGTGAAACAAATTCTGTGTGCAGTCCTTCGGCGACAAACACTGGATGATGAAGCACTGCAAACTGTCTTGTGTGAAGCAGAAGCAATTTTGAACGATCGACCCATATCTAAACTATCCAATGATCCTAATGATTTGGAAGCTCTTACACCAAATCATCTTCTGCTTATGAAAGGAATTCTGCATTGCCGCCTGGTTTGTTTGAAAAGTCTGATTTGTATGCCAAAAGGAGATGGAGGCAAGTGCAATATATTTCGGATCTCTTCTGGAAAAGATGGGTACATGAATGCCTACCCTTGTTGCAAGAGCAACAAAAGTGGAACAAAGAACGTAGAAATCTTACATGATATGATATCTTACCATATCATGATTGTGGCTGATTCTTCAGCACCACGTGGCCCATGGCTTCTTGGAAGAGTTGTGGAGACTTACCCAGACAATAGAGGTTTAGTTCGTTCAGTAAAAGTTCGAACCAAATGTAACAACTTGGAACGTCCAATTAATAAGCTTTGCCTTCTATTAGAAGCAACAGATTAAATAGGGCATACAGTGGTCTAATAGGTGTTTGAATTTACTGTCTTTTATATACCTTTGGTACAAATTCTGAATTGGTATGTTAGGCTTCATTTTGTATGAATGTGTAATTGTTATGTCATTATGCCATAATCAATTAAGGGGCCGGTGTGTTGGAGCCATTTATTGTAAAGTTTTACTTGGCCACTGGGTGGCACTGTGACACAGTATAATTGTAACACAGCCAGGTGTAAGAGCCAGGTGTGTGTGCATTGGTAATTGGGAAGCACACCGTTTTTGACCGCATGGCAGAGTTGCGTGCAACATGGACTATGATCTTATGCTGTGTCTTCAAGGTATGGACTTGGATTGTACATGTTAATGAACAAGGGTTTAGTTCGTTCAGTAAAAGTTCGAACCAAATGTAACACCTTGGAACGTCCAATTAATAAGCTTTGCCTTCTATTAGAAGCAACAGATTAAATAGGGCATACAGTGGTCTAATAGGTGTTTGAATTTACTGTCTTTTATATACCTTTGGTACAAATTCTGAATTGGTATGTTAGGCTTCATTTTGTATGAATGTGTAATTGTTATGTCATTATGCCATAATCAATTAAGGGGCCGGTGTGTTGGAGCCATTTATTGTAAAGTTTTACTTGGCCACTGGGTGGCACTGTGACACAGTATAATTGTAACACAGCCAGGTGTAAGAGCCAGGTGTGTGTGCATTGGTAATTGGGAAGCACACCGTTTTTGACCGCATGGCAGAGTTGCGTGCAACATGGACTATGATCTTATGCTGTGTCTTCAAGGTATGGACTTGGATTGTACATGTTAATGAACAAGGAACACTCATAGCAAGTTTACAACTATATTTTAACTCTTGTAACCCCATTTCTTTTGCCATTTTATTTGATGCTTTCAAACTCTCCCAACACGGTTTAAGACCTTTCACCCACCATAGGGTGTTTCTCTTCATTGTGCCCTTTTAAATTAGCCCAATAATTCATAATTAGCTGCTTATATCTTAAATTTAGAGGTAATTCACCCATCTCCACTTGAACTGCACAGACAGGAGAGGACTTTATAGCCCCACAACAAATCCTCAGTGCTTGATTTTGTATTACTTCCAATTTCTTTAACAGTGTCTTTGCAGCTGATCTATATGCTACACTTCCATACTCTACACTGGTCTTATTAAAGCAACATATATATCTATCATCTTATACTAGCACCCCAGTCCGACCCTGTTAAACATCTCATTTTATTTAAAATCATCTTGCATTTTTTCTCTATCTTCTTTATATGATCACTCCAAATTAGTTTAGAATCAAATAAAACTCCTAAAAATCTAAAAGAGTTTACTTGTTCTATCTGTTTCACATACATCAATATCTTTGTTGTTTTAACCTTCTTTCTAGTAAAAACCATCATCTTTGTCTTTTCTATTGAAAACTTAAAGGGGTCATATGATGCGATTTAAATTTTTCCTTTCTCTTTGGAGTGTTACAAGCTCTTGGTGCATAAAGAAGATCTGTAAAGTTGCAAAGACTAAAGTCTCAAATCCAAAGAGATATTCTTTATAAAAGTTAAAGAGTTAACCACGCCTACCTAAAAACCCCATGAATAAGACCATCTCTCAATCCTTTTTATTGCTTCTTGCATCTTTTCCTGTATTGTTACATTCTTCCCATTCTTCCAAAGGGCAATATCATCAGCAAATAATGATTTACCTATATCATATTTAACTTCATGAAACACATCATTAATCATAATGGAAAACAATAATGGGCTGATTATGCTACCCTGTGGAGTCCCATTTTCTACTTTATATTTACTAGACATTGTTGATCCAATTTTCACCTGGATAAAACGTCACTTCCTGTTTGTTGCTGCCGTGTGTTTTGAGTTTGAGCTCCGTCAAGTTAATTCTTTATTGTCTATTTTTTTTTCTTAAAATCAATTTTATACACCATCATTTTCGTTTCTATAACGTGTGAATA